ACCTTGAAAAGACGAGACTTTTGATAAGGTTTGAGAAGGTTTAAGTCCTTATTCTGATACCAAATATATTGTTAAATGTCACAAAAATCCATCTAATATTTCCTGAAGAGACGAGTAACTTTGAGCTGAAGTCAAATACAGACCTGCTGGAGTGCTGAGCAGACTACATTCTATGCAAAGAATTACTGTAATCAGCACTCTCTGCTCTAGATGAAGGTCCAGGAATGTATAATAGTTATCTCTAATTATTATCTTATATGAAACTATTATTATTTTTTAATTTATTGTGCATATTAACTGTATGTAGTTTCCTGTACTCAGAATTTGAATTATTATTCATTCTGATTTAACAGGTCTGATATTTTAAGTTAGTTTTTATTATTTGGTAAATACTTTTTTTCCTAAAGTATTATTCATTCACAAATCATGTGAATTGTGTTTTACTAGTAAATTAAATTAATATTTTTGGAAATAAGCACAGTTCATCATTTTTTTTGAGACTGAATGCACAAAATACTTGAACCCAAAAGAATCAAATTAATTTTAAATTTGTGTGAACAATAGCCAAACTTCTTTTCAATATTTGCTGAATTCCACCCTTTGGTAATGACACTGATTATTTTTAAACACTGGCGAGATTTAATTTTGAAATTGTACCATTGAACTATTGAGTAGTAAATATTTTGAAGATAATATTTAAGAGTTTTGTTTAACTGGTATAGGATTGATTGACCATTTGGAAACATCAAAACGTACCTGCCTAAAGGCGGATGGCAAACTTTTCTTGTGGTGCATGAGAAAATAATAGACAAGATTAATCTAGTCTGATATTCTGTATCTGAAAGTGGTCAGTTGCAGAAGTCTAGAATATAAGAAAATGGCAAGAGTATTGCAGTACTTCACCAGAACGCTCCCAGAAACTCCACTTACTGAAGTCTAAAGGGATGGTGTCTTCACAGGCACAGATAATTTTCTAATAAATACAGAATTCTGAGAAAACGATGACTCTACAATCAGAGTTTAAGCACCTATTTTCTAGTTTTTCCTCTTTATCTGCCTTTTAGTAATGACTGTCTCAGTGGTCATAATCTCCAATGAAAGAAAAAATCTGAATTTGCTCTTACTTTCCTATTAGTAAGACATCCGATATTATGACAAAAATGTATTTTTCATTTGAATTACTGGTTTAGGACTTTTTTCACGAAGTTAAATTCTATTGTCACCATTATCTTAGATCAGATCATGTTACTTAATTAATATATTGCAATTTACTTGAGGATTGTCTATTTTTAGCCTGTATCCACACCTAAACAATAGCCAGCTGTTCTACTACCCAGTGCGCCCTCCCCACTCATGGAAGGGAATCAAGAAAAGGAAGAAAGACTCATGGGTTAAGATAAAAACTATTTAATAATTAAAATTTAAAAAAAGAAAAGAAAAAAAAGATAAAAATAATAATAATGTATACAGACAAGTGATGTATGGTGCAATTGCTCACCACCTCTTGATGAATGTTCAGCTCATACCCAGTTAGCAATCCCAGAGCAGGAAAATCCCCAAACTGCAATCCGGGAAGAAAGACAAAGTAGGCCTCAGGAGCAGAACAATGGGTGAGATCCTTCAGGGAGAGTGACCACTGAGAAAGGGAGACTGTCCCCAACAAATTTTCCAGTTTATAGTGAGCATGATGTTATATGGTATGGAATACCCATTTGCCAGTTTAGGTGTCAATCGCCCTGGCCGCAAACACCCCCCACCTCCAGGTTCTTGGATATCTGGTTTGTTAGCAAAAACAAGTTGAAAATTCCTTGATTACTATGGACGTCTGCATATCATGGCTGGCTACAAACTAAACCAAAATGTTTTATCAGCTTTGTTCTCACTGAATCGGGTGCTGCAGTTTCCTTGAAAACGCATCTTGCTTTAGAAAGGTGGCTTTCCTGAAGAGAAAATTGATTCTATGATTCTCCCCCAGAAAAATCAGGACAAAGGTATGTTTTTCTGGAAACGGTTTTATTAAAAACCAAATCAAAACAAAATAAGCCACCTTGAAAAACAGAGAATTGTGATTTATGAAAGCAACAATAAGAGGTTAGAAACTTCTGTCCAAACTTTCTGCAGGACTGCAGTAACCCGATAGTTACCTAATAGTTAAATACATGGAAGCTTGGAGGCAAGGTTTTTTTTATCACTCTAGTGATTGTATTCCGTATACTTGAGGAGCACCCCAATTGCCACATTACAGAATATTCTGTGATAATCGATGATGAGTCTTTTAGTAGTTCTTGTTGGAATTCTTTCAACTTGAACAAGCTGATTCTTGACTAAGCTAATTCTTCATATTGCAGAGTCTTTGTCTCACTGTGGAGCACAATGTCAGCTTCATGGGAACTACTGGTTTGAGTCCTGTGCTATGGATAAGTGTTAATATGCTCAAATTGACATGATCACTCCAGAATAGTCTAGCCATTTAGGGAACTTGAATGGCAGAATAGGGGATCAAGGGCTTGACAACCTTCCTGTGACTGTATTTACTGTGTGAACTTTCTCTCTAGGGTGTGTATTAGAATATCAGTTTGTTTCACTTTTTAGGAAAACTTGAGTTTGTTGGAAATAAATGTAATGTAGTAGAAGTAAATTGTTAAGTTGTTTTAATTGCATTTATGTGTAGTAGAGTACCTTGATTTGCTTTTTCTACATTTTTGATATTTAAACTTTTCTAGTGAAAACACATTAGCAGTTCTACTCTGTTCTAAAGGCTACTTTAAAACACTGTGCTTAAGCAAATTGAAAAGAATAAATTTGCGGCACTGTTTATGCAGTTTTCTCTAGAAGCAGCTTTGAGAAGATGTTTGTGATTTGGCAGCTACATGTATCAGTAGTATATGAGAATCTGTGGCAGTTGTTGAGTTTGAACTCATTAATAAAGATAATGCAAAGAATGCCTTATTTGAAACATTCAACTTTTGTTTTATTTTTGATTCACAAAAATTGCAATACAAGTACAATTAACGTCATTTAGAAAAATAATGTGATTATTTATCAAGAGAGAAGTTTATTTTTAAAATAATGCTGTTGATAGTTCTTTAAGTCTAGATGGATGAAGTTAGATAAACCCCAAATTCTAACAGATGATAATTATTCATTTGCTTGTGGCTGTGGCGATGTTAAAAAGTAGGGGAGTATTTTAATGAGCAATGTGTTAGCTTTTGCCAAGATAAATTTGAATTATGAAATTGAATAAAGTATATGATCTAATGAATTTAGGATTTGAAATTGATCAAATAAGGTGATGATGTTCCTTTTGAAATTTTTGTGCTACTTTTGTACCTGAAGTTGAATCTCTTAGAGGGGATTAGTCCAGCTTCAATTATGTGAAGAGACAGCAGGGACAGGCTCAAGTTCCAGTCTTTGTCACTCCTTGTTATTCTGTTCTAGTTTGGTCTTTCTTCAAACTAACGGAAACACTGATTGCCATAATTAACAGAATATTGCAACTGAAAGTTCTCAATCCTTTTACAATTTCTTAATTGTAGCCAAACTGCAAGGCTGAACATTTTGTGTTTCCTAAACCCCTTCCAAGTCACCGAATGAAATAGGATCAAAAAAGTAAATGAAGAAAAATTTTTTGGTAGTAAGCTTTGGTTTCAATACTTTGAAATTATGTGTTAGATGTTATTTTCCAATTGCATTTCTGAGACACACGTATTCCCCTTTCTTCCCTTCATGATTCTTTCATCAGTTTAAGAGGCACTGAATGGTCAAAATTCAAGGATGAGAGTCATTTACAGGAGCGACTTCTTCGACCTGTGTAATGCAAAGAGGAAAGATAAAATATTGATTTCTATGGAACAGAAAATTGTAGAAAAAGAGACTGAATTTGTATTTTCTGTGTTACAGCTTCTACTGATTCATGCTCTGCTATATTCTCAGCTTTAGAAATGAAACTCTTTTTATTTAACCCATACCGACTTACATCCTGAACCTACTTGGCAATCATACTGCAACAAATCACTTAAAAGTCTATGCACAGTTTCTCAGGAATCAGTTTGAAAGATGAAAAAAAAAAAAAAGTATATCTTTACATATACATCTTTACATACATACATATATATTTACAATCAAACTTCACAAAAGTTTTTAATTACTGTCTAGATTTAGTTTTAAAATATCTTTCACTTATAGATATTGCTCAGTATTTGAAATTATATTTGAAATCCTTTCTAAAAACAAACAAGAAATGTTTCTAGGTTTTGGGTCTTTTTTAGACAATGAAGTAATACAGACATTCTAATGTCTAAAAATAGCTGTATTTACTACTTGCCCGTTTAGTTGTATAGTGATGAAATTGCAGGTAAATTATGTAATCATAAGCCCCATTACTTAGTATATGAGACTGTCCTTGACCTGAACCTTAAAACACAACCCTGGACCTCCTTACTTAGATAAAAATCCAGACTTTACTGTAATAAGAATTTCAAGGTATAAAATGTCAAAAGACCTACATACTGAACATTTATCTGTAAATCAATTCAGTTGTTACACTTAACCTACTTTCAGTCTTCTCCATTCTCCCCCAAACACCTTTTTGCTCTGCTATTCTTTTTGATCACAGAAAATGATAAATCCTTCTGTAGAGACAATGCTCTCTGCTCTGCAAATGAATTACCACCTAACTATAAAGTTATCTTCAGATGTGGTTTATCTTGAAGAATAGAAGCTAAATTGAAAATTAAGTATTCAGAGTAACTTTAGACATTCTGCGCATCATTTTTTCCACTTGATGTCACACTTCAAGAAGTATACTTTGAGGTATCGTGAATCATATTTTAAAAAGGCAGATTTAAATGTAATGACAGAGAGAAATGATACAGGATTTAATAATAAATATTAGCAAACCTTTATTTTCCTGTAGCAATCTGGTTTTCCTTATAGTGTTCTTTTCTAAATGCTGAAATGTAACTAATGGACAATTTACACAGTAATTCACTGTTTTATAGGTTGGAACTTGGGATCCATTGAGTGGCCTTAACATGACAGAGAATCAGAAAGGAAAACCCGCAAACATCACAGATTCCCTGTCCAATCGCTCTTTAATCGTTACTACCATCTTGGTAAGCAATTATATTTGCATTTCCAGAAATAGAGTTTTACAGGAAAGCTAACAGAATATGCTATACTAATTACAACAGTAATGAATAGTCTGTAGAATACGTTACAGTTACTTTGAAATTACTGTGTCATGAATGAATTCCAGTTGTTAAGCTAGTCATGGATATTTACTCTCACCTAAATTGTAAGTAAATTATCCCAGTTTTAGAGTCACGTCAGTTGATTAGTAATTTCAATTTTCCTATCATTGACTAAAATGTTTGGTTCCTATACAGAGCTGGTTAGCTCAGAGAGGACAAAAGGTGTTTGTTTAAAAAAGTGGTTTGGATATTAGCCTGATGATTTTAACCAGTAAAATTTGTTGCTTTCATTTGCTAATCTAACACCATGATATTACCTGTAAGGAAAGTACAAAGTATTTAACATTTATTTTCATCAGCATTATCACTTGATTATTAAGTTTCAATTTTTAATTGTACAGAAGTTTAATTGAGCTTAAACTTGAACTAGGTTTGAACTAGATCAGAAGTAACTTTTTCTTTGCCATTGTTGACAAATTCTCAGTGTTAAATGAGGTATTTTTTACGTATAATTACATATATTTAGTTTTGTAAAAACAAATGTTCACTGATTTTCACACCATAATTTTGAAATAATAATTTTCATTTCAACACAAAGGAAAAGCTTTTCAGAAGTGTGTCTGCTGTGTTTTCTGCTGTCACCAATATAATGAATTTGCAGATATCAAAAGATAATTCATTTCCCAGCATTTTTATTCTTTAATAAGAAACTTTTACCTACCAACATATGTTTTGACATTTCAAGCTAGAATTAATTTTCATAAGTGCATAGATGCAAATGCTAGTGTGTTTCTATCCTTTTATGTAACATAAACCATATCATTTTATCCAGTGGGTAACTTTTTAGTTGTTTATAAGGTCAGTTTTTATTTGAAGATTTACAAATTATAAAAAATCTGAAATTCTTTGTTTCATTAATTCCTCTAATGTAAAGTATGTATCTGATATATGATTGGAACATGGCTGACTGACTTTGAGACCTAAGTTCTTGTTATGCTAACACCAGCACAGTTTTACCACCACTTTCTCTTGTTCTGTTGTTTACGGTTTATAAACATATAATCTTTTGGGTTTCTTTTTTTATAAAATTTAAATGAGCCTCTTACAGTCTCTTAAAGTAAAAGCATGTTTTCTGGAACATCAGTCTGTCTTTTTTCTTTCCAGTGCCCTTCACAAGTGTTCAATTTTTGTTTGTTTAAGAACTATTGCATTATCAAATAGTGATTCTTAGTAATTCCAATTGACACCCCTCCCCCACCCTCCCTGTTACATTGCATCCAGATATCCTGCCTAGGATTTTTCTTGAGCTTTCTACTGACATATAACTATGTTTCACATTTTTTCTAATTGCTTTCCAGAACATAGTCCTATCTCTATTAGTGACCTGTTCCTTTCATTACTCAGTACTTAACCAGCCTCTGTATCATCTGCTCACTTCATTAACAATCATTGTATACTTGATTCCAGATCAGGGATAACAATACTGGGACAAGATTCAATCCCTACAAGACTGCATAAGAAACACTCAATAACTTAGGGTGTTTCAAGTTTTACATTTTAATATCTATTTATTGATGAGATTTGAGTTCTTATACTGTACGTATCATACTGATTTTGTATAGTGATACCTACACTTGCATGATTTTGTTTGAAATAATGATGTCAAGAAAAGGTAAGCTGCACAAATGTAAATAGCAGTGCTGTCGATAAGCACTGATTTTGGATTGGTAAAGCTCACAAAAATAGATTCCTGATAGTTACGAGTTGCTTACTTGTAACTGACTTTTATACTTCAGTTATTTTTCAGTGAAAGTTTTGATAAATGCAATAACTCTTTCAGCTATGAAGATATATGAGTGGTACTCAGAATAATGAAATGAACCAAAAATTATTCTGGTGCAGAAAGCACATATACCAGTTTACTTTTGTAGCTCTACCTTTTTGTGCTTAATAAATATGCTTCTATTGGACAGAAAGCATACTACTAAACATTTGTTTTGTAGCAATGGAAGGGAACAATATAAAATACTAAAGCTCCTAGAAATATATTTTCTTCATCACCTTTCTTTTCTCTCCTTTTTTTTTTTTTTAAGTCTGGAAATACTGCTTTTAAAATAGTCAGTTCTCTCATTTAAGCTGTTCATGTGATTTTTCTATGCTACTTTTTTCACTTTAACAATTCTCTATAATAGTCTATGGTACACTGCCAGCTATGGAGTCTTGATCAGTTTTCTCTGCAGTCTGCTTAACACTCACTTTTCTTTGAAAGATACAAGTCTTTCTTTTATTTTTAATTCTGTCTTCTGAAATTCTGAATTATATCTTTTTCCTCCTTTATATTGTAATTATTAAAATCTTTAAAACTGTGAGTATACTCTGCTTTTTTTGTGATGACTGGGTCTACCGAAGTTGAAAATTTATTGATAAATAAAATAATAGTAAATAAACTACAATTCATAAATTCATCTACTGCAAGTAAGAAGGGCACTATGTGATCTTTTTTGTCTTGAATTCTGCATAATACATGCTATAGGTAACCATCTGAAAGATTATTCCTTAGTCTGTGAGCAGTTCAGTAGCTCTATTATGAAAAGGGGTCAGGGTTCCCAGGATTTCATCACTTCTCAGAAGTCTACTGGCATGTAGTTTTGGTGCAGAGGCGTATCTGGTTTCCAAGTTCTGGTTCCATGGCAGGCCGAAGTACCAGCTGAACATGTACAATGGAGCGATGGTCAGCTTTCTGGGGGTGGGGGGGATGGACGACACATTTTAAATAATAATAATAATAATAATAATTATAAATATTCTGTTTGTATCTTTTATAACAACAGCTTTGGATATCTCAATCTTTTTGACATTATTTGTTTTATTTTAATGCCATCAGCACTGGAACTTGAGAATTTCTTCTGCAATTAAAATTCTACATTCTGAACATTCTACGTTTAAAAAAAAACAAGAAAAAACCTTTCAAGTTTATTAATAAGCTATCAGAACTCTGACTTTTTTTTGTCTTTAGATTTTAGATATAAGTAAATATTTTTGTTCTTGTACATATTCTACCTTTACTTCAGAAGCTTTTTAACTTTGGAATTAAATTTTCATATTTATAAATGTATGTGTATAGTGTTTGTTAATTTATGCTAAATTGCATACCAGCCATATATCTTATTGTACAGGTTCTTTTGTCCTATTCTGCTGAAATGGATGCTCCTTTCCTTTCTCTTGTAGCTTTTATGTGCTTTTCTGTATCTGTTTACATCAAAGCTCCGAAAAGCTCACAGTTGTCAAGTTTAATTTTTTCAAAAAATGTGTGAAAGTTATGAAAGGTGTTTGAAAATCTCAAAATTAGCAGTTTTTTGTTACTTCACTTTTGAAAAGTGAATTTTTTTTTTTTACTATACTTTCCTGAAAATATCCATTTCAATATTTTAGAAGAAAGAATAATTAGAATGGATTTTCAAAACAATTTTATTTAGTTCAAAATGTAATAGCCCCACACCTTATTTTATTCATAAATTCTGCTTTTGCAAATGAGTAGAAATCTGATGCCATATAAATGACACCTTGTTTTCAAAATAAAGATATAAAATCAAGCAAAGCCCAAGGTTTTAGCATCTTTATGTCATTTTTCATTTTACATACTGTATCTCCCTTTCTTTTGGACTCAAAGGATATTTAAAGCATGATGTTTTAATTTCCAAATTTTAAATTAATATATAAAAAAAGAATAACTTTAACTCTTATCTTTATAAAGATGGGCCATGTCTCATACACTGAATCGTAGATTTGTAGTCGTTTTCATTTTCATTTTTATGGTATATTTTGAGGAAAGATAACTTATGCAGGTATTTTCTGATAATTACTGTTGTATCATTCTGGAATGGTTCAAGCAATGCTTAAATTTTGAAATATTAATAATTCAATAGTATTTGGTTCCTGATGACTCTATAGACCTAAATAATTACTTCTCTCTCATAAATGTTGGGGGAAGGGCTCTTTACATTACTGATGGGTGATAGGACAAGAGGAAATGGATATAAGCTTAGTCAGGGGAGAGTCAGGTTGGATGTTAGAAAGTATTTCTTTCTGAAAGGGTTGTCAGCCACTGGAATAGGTTGCCCAGGGAGGTGGTTGAGTCCCCATCCCTGGATGTGTTTAAGAAAAGAGTGGATGAACTACTTAAGGATATGGTTTAATAGGAGATTAGGGACGGTTGGACTGGATGATCTCTAAGGTCTTTTCCAACCTAGAAATCTATGAAATCTGTTTGAATTTTTTGTACTGCCACAAAATAGTTGAATCAGGTTTTGCCTAGAAGAAAAACTGTAAACTTCATGTTTTTCTATTTTTAGTTTACTCAGATTTTTCTTTGGAAGCTAAAGGAATATATAATTACTTACTTTCCAGTTTTAGTACTTTTCTTATCCCTTTTTATATAATTTCCTGTCATAATCAATGTGTACATAGATGCCTCTCCCAGACTTCTAACACCCACTTCAAAATCCAGAGTCTACACACTCTCTTTCCTGAACCTCATTCCACCTCTGCCTCCATTCCATTAATCTCTCTTCAGTCACCAGTGCAGACTGTACACTGACTGATTTCTTCAAGATGTAGCAGAAATGTAAAACAAACTACTGTGTTTCAGGATTTTTTTCCACTGAGAAAGATAAATTACTTTGCTTTATATTTTGTGGTGCTCAAAATACAAAAGAATTTAAGCTGAAAATCACCCTTGTCCTGAGATCCAGCACAATGTCTGTGTATTTCTAGTAACCTTTGGGGCCTTCAGACTTGCAAGGTATCCAGAGGTATGCTTGGCCACAGTGCTTGTTTGTATTTCAAACATAAAAGTAAGTGATGTTAATCAGAAAAAAAAACCATGAGGTTTGAAGGGAGTCATAATATATGAATGAATGCTG